GAGATTTCAAGGAAAATCAGGACATTTCCCCAGCAAAATGGAATAGGGAAAGGAGGGTTTGGGGTTTTTGTTGTTGTAGTTAATTTGTTATGTTTTCTTTTCTTTTTTAAATTAGTACCAAATTTTGCAAGGAAAGTGATTTACCCTGTAAAATGTTTTACAGCTACTGTTTTCCAATTTATCATAAGTGATACCTAACGGAAACTGCAATGAGTGAAGGGGTAAAATTTAGCAGCTGGTGTTTTTTCTTGGAGCCACTTCCAGGAAGGCTAACGGGAACATTCGGCAGACTGCAATTCAACAAACATCTAATTGGTGCCTACTATATGCAAGGCTAGGTACTGAGGATAAAATGAGGACAAAACACAGTCCCTGCCCTGGGAAGGGAAGGGGGTGGGGGGAAATGGTTAATAGCAATATTTCCTAGGGCCCTGCCATATAGGCTGGGCTATCTTTTTCCTAGGGCCCAACCCAAAAGTAGTTAGGCTAGCCTTTCCTTTAGAGGTGCTAAAAATCATTTTTGGGTGAGACTTAGGCTTGAACCTTTGATATAGCTTGTTAGTGGACCAAGCACATGTGGAGAGAGGTTTCTGCCCAACAGACCAGCATGGCCAACACAAAGGCAGGGAATCAATGCCGTAGGCTGGTTGAATCTCCTTTCCATGCTATAGCTAAATAGTGTTCTGTTGTGAACTGATAGATATTCATTTTAGTTCCTGAATATGAAATCCTGTCCTGAGTCAGGCCCAGTCTACAACAAGGAATAAGATTGGGAAAAAACCTCTGATGGGAGGTGGTACCTGAGTTTGAAACTTTGAAAGAAGTTAGGGATTTTACAAGGCAGAGGTAAGTAAGTACATTCCATATATGAGGGAGGGAACAGCTAGATGGGACCTAGGTAGTGCAGTGCACAGGCCTGCAGTCAGGAAGACTCATCTTCCTCATTTCAAATCTGGCTTCAGACACTAGCTGTGGGATTCTGGGCAAGTCATTTAACCCTGTTTGCCTCAGTTTCCTCATCTGTAAAATGAACTGGAGAAGGAAATGGCAAACTAAGTATCTTCACCAAGAAAACCCCAAATGAAATCATGGAGAGTTAGACACGACTGAAATGACTGAACAACAACAATACTGTAAGGGAGCACTTTGTCAAAGGCACGGAGGTGGGAGATGAACTGTCTGTAGGGGAATGTTCACATTTAGCAGATCAGTGTGTGGAAAGGGAGTGATCCAAAACGAACCTAGAAAGGTAGATAGGACCCCAGCCAAGGAATCTGTATTTTATCCTAGAGAAAATTGGGAGCCACTGGAGATGTTTTAGGAGGGAGCTGACCTGGCCAGATCTATTTTAGGAATATCGATTTGGCAGATACTCAGAAGACAGATTCCAGACGGAAGAGACTAAGCCACCTTAACAGTCCAGGTGAGAGGTGATGAAGGCTTAACTAGAGTAAAAGTCGTGTGAGGGGAGAAAGGACAGATTCTAGAGAGCTGTAAAAGTAGAACTGGCAAGACTTCATAACCCAAGTTTCATTGAATAGTAGAAACTAGGGGCACATGAGTGTATGCTTGGCTCATGAGGCCTAAGCAAACAAAAGTACATTAACAGCTAGCATTTTTTATGGCCACTTCTTCAAAAACAGTTTGCATTGTTAAATGATGGTTTCAAGGAACTCATTCCACTAGTACTCTATGTTTGATGGCAGCCATTCAATTATGGAAAGCTTTAAAATACAACAGAGTACACCATCCTAGTGATCCTTTAGAATGTCTTTTAGCCTCATCTTGTTGACCATTCAGAGGTCTCAGAATTGAAAATGATCTCCTTCATATGGAATATAAATAGAGCCTTAAAATACACCTAGTTGGCTCAGTGGATAGAGCACTGGACTTGGAATCAGGAAGGCTTATCTTTATGAGTTCAAATACATCCTCAGACACTTATTAGCTGTGTCACCATGGGCAAATCACTTCACCATGTTCGCCTCAGTTCCTCATATGTAAAATGATCTGGAAATAGCAAATCGCTCCAGTATCTTTGCCAAGAAAACCCCAAATGGGGTCATGAAGAGTTGGAAACAACTGAAATAACTGAACAGAACAGAACAAGAAGGTCCACCAAACATCAAATTGAAACGTCATAGCCAGTTCATCTAAATTCCCTAACTTTATTGAAAACTCAATTACGTAGCTCGTTGGGGGCTTTGGGTTTCTTAAGAGGCCAGGAGGGTGTCTGAAAGAGCATTAGATTTGGAATACGATTCCCTGCTCTGCTACCAGTGTGATCTCAAAAAAGATATATCTCTTTTGTTGATATCAGTCTCCTCATCTGTAAAATGAAGGTATCAGATTATCTCTAAGGTCTCTTTCAGCTTTGACATTTTATGTTATTAATGCCAGCACTTCTTGAGAAAATGGGAAAAAAAGTGAAGTTAAAAAAAAGCAAGATGAAAAACAATACAAAGCAGACCTAAAAAACACAAGAAGGAGGAACAGATATAGTCAAGATCCAGAGAGACATTAAGAGATGGGAAACACACAAAGCCAAGAAGTTAAGGGAAGGATGAAAAGCAGCAAGATATCATGTGATATGATAAAATAAGGAATTAACTCAGTTAAGAAAATTAAGGAGAAATGGCAGAATTGAATGTATCTTTAAAATACCTTAGTAATTAATGGCAAAACTCAAGAAATGGAAAGTATTATAGAAAATTTATCAATCGATAAAACAAAGCCAGATTAATATAGGAAGAAATAGAATTAATATAGGAAGAAATAGAAAGCAAGCTAACACAAGAATTGAAACAGTTGAAATAAAAAGCTCAAAAATAACTCAACTGGAAAAAGATTTAAAAGCAATGCTGTTGAAAGTGATGGATGTATATGGCAGAACATGGAAGAAAAATCCTCGAATTACTACTATTCTGTGAAAAAGAAAAGAATTGGATGACTATATTTCAGCAAACACTGCAAGAAAATTTCCCAGAACTATCAAAAACAAGCAGCACTCTGTAAGTAGAAAGAATTCCCAGAAGACTAACAAGGAAACTCAAATTTCATCTCACCTAGGCAAACCATTGGCAAATTTCAGACATACAATGAAAAAGGGAAAAAATATACTTCCAAAAATCAGGAGGAAGAAAGACACCAATTAACAAGAAATATCAGAGTATCTCATAGATTTTTTTTTAAAAGCAGAAATGATAGCATATGTAAAATATGTACATGCTAAAAACATGGGTCTAGCTAGATCCCAGAATCAATTTCCCAGCAATGTCAGCATTCAGAGTGAACAATTAAAACCACAAAGACCTCAAAGAATTTGTGAATAAAAAAACCCCAAACTTTAAAGGGCCTTTGGAATAGAATTGAAGAAATAGGAGAGAGGAGAGCTTAGAATCTAAGACAAAAGATATTTTTTGACAGTGATTAACTAGTTGTTAGATCCTCTACATTGTGGTAAAAGATAATCACAGTATTATATTGTTGATATGTTTGTGTATATATATATATATATGTATATATATATACATATATATGTATGTATATATATGTATATATATGTATATATACATATATATATGTATATATGTATATATAGTTATATGTATATATACATATATATATGTATATATATGTATATATACATATATATGTATATATATGTATATATAGTTATATGTATATATACATATATATATATGTATATATATGTATATATATGTATATATAGTTATATGTATATATACATATATATATATATGTATATATATGTATATATAGTTATATTGGACAGTGTGGTCCATAGCATCGTAAAGAGTCAGATACAACTGAATGACTGAACAACAAAAATTATATTTTTTTCACCTGTATATCCTACCAGTCCTTTAAACTCAACCTGTCCAAAATGAAAACTCCTCATCTTCCCCTCTGCTCTTCCTCCAAATTTCTGTATCTTTGTTCCGGGCACCACCATCTTACAAGTCATAACCTGGATTTCAATTGTTCTTTTTGTTGCACCCTTTTGATCAATACTTTACTAAGTCTTGTGAATCTTCACTAGTCAGTGCACTTCACTAGTCTCTCACATTCAGGGTCTCATTTCCACTACCACCCCCACCCCCATCTCCTCTCACTTAGACTATTGTAATGGCCTCTAAACTTGTCCTCTTGTATCTATAAGCTATCACCTCTCTAATCCAATCTTCACATTTCTGGTCAATTACTTTTTGCTGATGTACTGGTCTGATCACAACATTCCTCCACTGAAAACCCTTCATTGGCTTCCCATTGCCAAATATACTGTAAAATCAAGATCCTCAAATTCAAGGTTTTCCATACAATGGCCCCAATGTTCCCTTCCAGCTTTATCTCTTGTTGCTTTCCCTTTCATGACTGCTAAATCGGATTGCTCTATTCCTATTAATATCCTAGCCTCACCAGTCTCCAAGAATTTGCTCAAGCCTCAGACATTTACTAACTGTGTGATCCTGGACATCACTTAACCCTGTTTGCCTCAGTTTCCTCATCTGTAAAATGAGCTGTAGAAGAAAACGGCAAACCATTCCAGTCTCTTTGCCAAGAAAACCCCAAATGATGTCACAGAAAGTTGGACATGACTGAAAAAGGACTAAATGGGTGAACACCCATTGATAGGAGGATAAAAACAATGTATAACAAGGAAAGAGCACTGGATTTGGACCCTGGCTCAGCTCCTGCTTCTCTTGCTTACTTTAAACCTGTGTGAACTTTTAAGCAAGTCACTTAACCTCCCTAGGCTTTAATTTTCTCATCTATCAAATAAGGGTGTTAAACCAAATGGCCTCTAAGGTCCCTTTCAGCTCTAAAGCTACAATCTATGAACTATCTGGCAAAAATACTCACACATGGCTTATTTTCAACAGCAAAACAAAACAAAACAAAACTAAAACCAATCTGAATGTCCAGTTACTAGGGAACAGCAGAATGTGTTGAGATGTATCACTATAACAGAACCCAGCCTTAAAAGGATACATATGGAAGAATACAAAGAAACATTGAAAGACAAAGTGATAAAGAATGAAGAAATCAGAAGTAGGAGGACATACACAGTGACTACAACTATTAAAAACAGTCAACACCCACATGATTATAAAATATAATAACAAGCAAACTTTACAAGTACAAGAATTGAAAAGAGACCAGGAGACACTGAGTAATGTTATGATCATTTTGTTAATTGTTTTTATCTTTTTCTTTAATCAAATGTTGAGAGTTTGTGGTTGGCTTTTTCGGTTTGTTTTATTTGGGATTTTATTCCATGTTCTGTTTACATGATTCATGCTTGTTATGCTTATTACTAGGTTTATAACACAAATTATTCTTAAAAGACATACAAAAGTGAACTTTTGAAACACTGTATAATCGGTCCCTTAGCAACTATTCCTTTTCCATCCTACTTCTGATATTGCCCTAAGACTGAAGCCATTTCTTATAACAGACAAGAAACTGTTTTCATAAAGGGCCAACATTACTTCTAGAATAAACCATTAAAAAATCTCTATAGAAAACTACAGAGAAATAGGTGGATTGACCATAGTATCCGACAATTTGGCACTTTGTTATAGCCAGTGGTATACTGGTAGATGTTTAATAGACAACTCTCTAGGGCCATCTCCAGTCATCCCAATTTAAATCTGGCCACTGGCCCCCAATGGCTCCAGAGGAGAAAGTGAGGTTGATGACTTTGCACAGCCCTGCCTCACTTAAATCCAATCTGCTTCCAAGTCATGGCATCACCTCCCTGACGTCATGGTCCTCTTAGAGAATGGAGGACAAACAGCAAATAGCTCTCAAAAGGAAAAAATACATCCATGCCACATTCTGTACATTTATTCACCATTATCAGTGTTTCATCACTTTCTTAAATCTAGACTATCAACAAAATGGTGAATCGAGCCCTGATTTGTAGCATATTTCCAAGGTTGAAATACTCACACTGAAAAGCTGGCTCCAGCAAACCACAGATTATAGACCGTCTGTTTTGTTTACTTTTGCTGTGCATGTTGTTGTTATTCAATTGTGTCCGACTCTTCGTGACCCCATTTGGGGTTTTCTTGGCAAAGATACTGCAGTGATTTGCTATTTCCTTCTCCAGCCATTTTACGGATGAGGAAACTAGGGAAAACAGAGCTAGAGGTCCCATAGCTAGTAAGTGTCTGAGACTGGATTTGAACCCAGGAAGATGAGTGATTCCTGACTCCAGGCCCAGCACTCTATCTACTGCACCACCTTGCTGTACATAGGTATGTCTTATCTCCTTGACTAGACCCTGAACTCTCCTTATCTGAGAGCAGTGTGGTATTGCTTTGAAAATGAAAAAGCCCAGCACAGGGTTGAGCACATAGCTGAAGTGATAACAATCAAGCATTTAATAAATGTTTCTACTAAAATAAAAGAAAAGATGTGTTCAATGGATCAGCTGTTCTTCCAGAATCAGGAGGAGGGGGTAGGTGATCTCTAGAAACCAGAAGGCCTCTTAGCCCTAGAATTTTGTGATTCCAGATAGGGTCATCCCTGATCTTGAGCTTCTCTCAATGTTTGCCCTCACTCTGATTCCTTTTAATATCGATCAAACGCCTTTTGATACATGCTCCTACCAGGTACTAGGAATGCTGAGTCAGAAATTAAACAATCTCTTCTGGAAAGGAGTTTATAGCCTACCAAGTGAAAAAACATATACACATATATTTATTATCGTTATTGTTTAGTCAACCAGTTGAATCTGACTCTTCATGATCCCAGGGATCATACTGTCCCTGAAATTTTGTTGGCAAAGATACCAGAGAGGTTTGCTATTTCCTTCTCCAGTGGATTAAGGCAAGTAGAAGTTAAGTGACTCACCCAGGGTCACACAGCTAATAAGTATCTGAGGTTGAATTTGAACTCAGGTCTTGATCCAGGCCTAGAGTTCTATCCATTTAGCCACCTAACTGCTTCCTATGCACATACATAAGTATAAATAAAATATATGCAAAGTAAATTTCTCCTCAATGGATGTGTTAGAACAAATGCATTGGCATACTTCACCTAAAGTTTCCCTGATGGATGCCATTTCGAATGAATTCAAGAGACATTAAGTGCCAGCTTTGTGCAAGGCACTGTGTCAGGGACTAGGGTTACGCAGACACCCCCTCACCCCCCCCACTCCCCCAAATAGTCACTGCCCTCAAGGAGCCTACATTCTATTGTTTTCTAACATCATCATTAACATATTATAACTAAAACCCACCAGAAGTCAAGAAACAGAACTTGAATGTCATTCAGCTGATGGCCCATTAATAACAGTTTTTGCTATTCAATTCAATCATCATTTATTGAATGCCATGGAAGTGCTAAGCCATGTAAAGCCAAATGCTTTGGGCAACTCTCTGGGCCTTGGATTCTTTATCTGTAAAATGAGCAAGGTGAACTAGGTGATCTCAAAGACACCTTCCGGCTCTGCCTCTTATGATCCTATGATCCTTTAACATTGTTTACCAAACACTTTATTTTTTCAGGAGCCAATCAACAGGGATTTGTTAACCATTTGCTATATGGTAGGCACTTTACTAAGTGCTAGGGATTCAAAGGGGATATAGCCTTTGTCCTTTAGGAGCTCACATTCTATATCAGTATATAATACATGTTATACTACATTATACTACATTACATTCTACGTTAGTATATAATATATTAGAGTACCAGGCCTGAAGTCAAGGTGACATCTTCCTGAGTTCAAATCTGGCCTTAGACATTTACTAGCTATGTGACCCTGGGCAAGTCACTTAACCCTGTTTGCCTCAGTTTCCCCATTTGTAAAATGAGCTGGAGAAGGAAATGGCAAACTGCTCCAGTACCTTTACAAGGAAAACCCCACAAGGGATCACAAAGAGTTGGACAGGACTGAAACGACTGAGCAATAGTTGGGGCAAGGGGAAGGGGGGTACTCTGAAGCAGGCAGTGAAGAAACTGGGAAATGCCTCATGTAGAAGATGAGGCTTGACCCTCCTGCTAGCATGGGTTGAGGCTGGTAAATCGCTTGAGTCTCAAAGTTCAGAGTTGTAGGAGGGCTGAAGCTGATTGGGGACCAACACTCTGCATTAGGTCCAGCAAGTCAAAGCTTGCAAGCCAATCAGCAGTGAGACTGGGCCTGTGAGCAGCTGCTGCTCTACTTCCAGTATGAGTGAAATAGAGAGACTCTTCCTCCCTTCCCCATACCATCCCTTTGCCCCCAAAAGGCAAAAGGTTGGGGAGTGGGGGAAGGTTGAGCTGATTCTTCAAGGAAGCCAGGAGGGGAAGGTGAGACAGGAGAACATTCCAGGCCTGGGGGATGGCCCATGAAAGGCCACTAATTGAGGAGATTGAGAGTTGTGTGAGAGGAATCCCAAGAAGGCCCAGTTAGGCTGGGTATGCCTGTACTAGCAATTGCTTTGCACTGGGACATTTGCCAAGGTGAGGTGTCTATTTGTTGGAGGGTAGATTCTGAAACTTTTTTGTTTCCCCCCAATAAAAGGGTGGTGCTAGCAACCTAGACCTCTGGCTCTTCTGAAATCTTTCATTCTAATCTTGCTTTCTTCTTCCATTGCTAGTACAATTAATTTTGTTTTTTATGATCTTCACATCCCAGCTTGAACCATTCCCCTGACCTCCCCTCCCACAAGCACATAAGAAAGAGTGCAATGATCTCACATCCTTAAAGGCTTTGCTGATTTTGAAAATCGTTTGCAAATTTGATTTCCAACAACACTGAAAATACTCTGCCAAGTATTTCATGTACTGGTATTAAGACTGGCTTTCTATGTAGACCATTAAAATGAAATCCTGTAAATCGCTAAAGACTGCCAGGTTAGTAAGGTGAATGAGAGTACTGTGGAGTGAAGGAACAGAAGGGAATTTAGGTGGTACCTCATGAAGCAGTCATGAGGTTCCTTAGAGATTTTCCTGCCAGGTTAGGCTACAGGGAATAGCTAGGTAAGTTTGGAGATGATTGTTCTGGTACCTCTGTCAGGAGCTGCAACTAGCCAGAGTATTTAGGGGAGTCAAACTAGGAAATGAAACTGACATATAACCGTTTAGCAATTTGCCAGGCTGTTTGCTCAGGCTAACCTATAGCTAGTGAGGAGCAGAGAGAGTAAGTATGTGGTGAGAATGTGGGCAAAAAGCATTTAAAAGCATCACTTTGACAAAGAAGCCAAGGGCCTCAAAGGGGACTATGGCACCAAAAAAGTTAAGAATTCATGATCTTGATTGTCCTAAACTAGATGGTCTATAAGGTCCCTTTACCCCAGAAGAGTCTGTGGTTCCATGAATTACAAGGTAGACAGGTTCTCACCTTAACTAAAATATCAATGTCATTTTAAGTCCCAGAAACTATTCCTGCCTGAATCCATTAAAGAGGCTTAAAATTTGACCTTTTTCTTTCCTTCTTCAATTAAAAAAACAACAACTAAGTCAGCATTTAAAATTTTTGTCATTCGGTCCCCACCCCTATTCCTATTGACAGTCATAATTGAAAAATCTGTTATCGTAGCTACACCCAGAGATCTCGGAGCTAAATGCTAAGAGGGGAAAAGTTCTGTTAAGCAAATGCAATGGCTGTCAGAAGCAGTTAAAGACAATTCAGTTCATGCGCCATTTCCATCAATAACTAAACGACTTGACATTTTTTATTATTTTGGATTTACCAAGCAATACTCTCAGAGCTTTCTGCCATTAACAAGAGCAGCTGCTAAATTCAGGTCAATTTCACTTTGAACCTTCATTCAGGTCAATTTCTAAGTCAAGAACTGATAGACTGGGAAAGCATTGCAGTGCTGCTACTGGAATGTCTTACGTATATTCATTTTTTCCAGGTTATCCTTCCCTCTTCCCAGCCCAAAATTCTTGCTTCTTCCCTTGGGGAGGAGTCAAAAAGCACTGCTGGGGCCCCAAACGGGGTGAGGAAAAACCCCAGGCTAAAGATGATGGGCAAGTGACCTTTGTCCCTGGTTCACACTGTCCTCATCTATAGAATGAGGATTATCATACTTGACACTCTCTAAGACACTTCCATCTACAAATCTGTGATCCTACGAAATCAGTTAGTCTGACAGTTGCCTCTTCCCTTACCATGATGAGACTGGCACAGTGGAAAGAGCACTGGATTTTAATCAGAAGACCTAGGTTCAAATTCTG